CGAAATCGATTTGTGGAGCGTATTGTATTGTATTTATCTTGTATGGTGTAATAGTCGAACTATGGTGTATCCAACCAAATACGTTTTATCTATTTTATCTCGTTCCGGATTCCTTTTTCTGGCTTTATCTGTTTGCTGAGCCAGATGTTATATGCTGCCCTCAGCGGTATTGGTTTAAAAGTTATTGCATCATCTCGTATTTGTATATAATTTAGAACTGACGTAAAGCTTACATAATACGTTGCCTGTATGTATTAATGTTGTCAATAAATTAGAATTAAAACAACAAACAAATATTTGCTGTAACGGCCACACAAAAAACACTTACAAGACCAAAACAATAAATTGAATCAATATGTAGACCTATTGATGAGTAGAAGTATCTGGCAACATGAAGTGAGTATCCCCGACTTGTTATGACACGCTGTGTTTCAGCCAATCAACGCCTTGTCGTACAGAAATGTTGCTCGTAACTCGAAGTTCGGTCAACTGTTACTTAAAGTTCGAGCTACAATTCAGCATCTCCATTTTGTTCATCTTTCACAAATTGAATAACGTATTCTAGGTTGCGTACCAAAGTTTTAGCTGAGTTCTTCCTTCTCGGATTTAATAAAAAACTAGAGGCAGGAAATCAACAAGTTCAATGAATATACTAAATAAACTGGAAGTAAATAACACCATACATAATTTTTTGTTGAAAACAAACTCTACGATGGTAGTTCATGATGTGGAACGTATGGCTTGTAATGAAATACTCGAAGCGCGTTTTCGAATTCCGCGGAACGCGCTAAGAAGCCGCCCGCGATATCACGTGACTATGGCACACTGCATTGTGGGTATAGAATGTTTCTTGTTGCCAAGAGACGTCGTCAATCGCCATATCTCGATAATATTTTGCCTTGCGTGCATCTATATCGTTAACTCCTTGACGTTTCAAACATTACAACATTATTCTTTTACAAACTAATCATGGGAACGAGTCATTCAACGAAATATGAGTATACCGATGTCAAGTCAAGTGTTTCAGAGGTCGATGACTTCCAAAGGTAAGTAAAAAAGCAACTCGCGATTTGCTTGCACCAACTCATTCGAAATTGTTTTTACTCGCAATTCACGAGTCTTGTTTTCTTACCGGGTTTATATAAAGCTATTTTTTTTATCAACAGCGATGTTGACAGTGGTACAGCGCCATGTAACTTTGCGTCTGAGCTGGAATCTGTGGAATACATGACGACATTTGAGGGCGTCCTACAAGACTTTGTAACTCAGTTTCTGCAGATGAAAGACGAGAATGCCAGATATCGGACCAAATGCGAGTCCAACATACTTCGGTGTTTTCGTAAAAAGAAGAGATCGAATGAGTATGATTGCCGAGACAAAATTCATGACTTGCAGAAAATGTTTAAAGCAATGCAAGAACAAGTATTTGTACTGGTGGAAAGAAATGGGTCTCTGCATCGGCATGTCCTCTCCTCCACGAAGGATGAAAGTGAAGTTCAACGGAATGAATTACAAAAGACATGTCTGAAAGATCAGTTAGAGAAAGAAAGAACCGAGAAAAAACAATTGTGGAACGAATTAATAGACTTAAGTTAAACTTGAGATACGAGACACTCTAAGAAGCGAGGCTGAAAAAAATAACTGTGAATTATTATCGTCAATTGACTTGCTGAAGCAAGAATTGGAAAAAACAAAAGATGACTTGGACAAGTCAAAGGATAGAGAACGTCAAGTCAGCGATGACATCACGGAACTTAAAGAGAACATTAAAGAGTTAACAGAGATTGCGACTGACACGTTGCAAAAACATAACAGCAACGAGGAGGAATACGAATGGAAAATATCACAATTGGAAGACCAGCTCAGCAATTATAAAACATGTGAAAAAGAAATCACGGCGCTGAGAAACGAAAACAGGAAATTCAAAGAGGTGTATGGTAAATACAAGTCACGAAGAAAGAACACCATACAACATTACTCGGGTTTGATCGGAGAGCTTCGGAAATCTGCACCAAATAATTTGATGCTTGAAGAAACACATTCGATGTTAACCGAGAGTTTGAAAAAATATGACAGAAAATCTTTTAAATAAAGCTTGATTATATAAAGTACAATATGATGGTTTCTTTATTTTCCTCATTTCTATGGGAGCCAATACCTATTGAACATGACGTAGTACCGTGTATAAGTGTTGTCCATCACATAACGACACGTGATATGGAACCACAACACGTTCCTGTGATACCAAGTACTAGTGTAGGTCCTGGCCTAAATACAACTCGGTTAATTGTGTTGAAAATAAATAATGGTTTATTCATACAGACCATGATCTTGCAATACAAACTGCTGATTTCTTGTGAATTCTTGTGTTTTATTTCCCATCATAGAGGGCGGTATCACTATATGATTTTCAAGAAAAAAATAGCTATATATGTACAATAATAGAATTACTCTCGCTACATATATTTCGTGTACATAAATGCAATTTGTTTATTTTCATTTATGTTTTCGTTATTAACAGCCTTTCTCTTTTAAATTGGAAGTTTTATTTTTTCTGTATGGAGCAGTGTTACTGTTCAATTATATTTTCTACAGATGCACTCATAGACAAATTAACAAATTAATTTTCTGTCGGTGAAAATAAATTAAGATAACTCCGATTTTAGTCAAAGTGAAGAATCATGTTAGTTCCATGGTAGAATTAAGAATCCGCGAGTAATCGCCGCCATCGCATAATTATATTGGAGAACAATATATATCACATATCGCATAACACAGCCGTTACCCCATAGTTTGTGTGTTCTTGTTCTTACCAATGCAAACGACTATGCGCATCCAGAGGAGAGGAGTGTGGTGAAATATTGGTACGCTTACTATAGTTGTGGCTTTAAAGTGTATATATATATATATATATATATATATATATATATATATATATATATGCGTGTATGTCTACTAGCATAAGATCATTGTGGCTGAATTCGTTTTCATGGATTTGGTTCTAATATTCTAATATCTAATCATAGCTATCTAATATTCCTCCTATCATGGATTTGAAGACAGAATCATACAATCAATCCCGGCAGTCAGTCAAGT